CTGGTAAATGTGTTGCAAATACATCTTTCTGGCCTATGGCTTGCCCTCCATTTCTTAGAGATGTCCTTTGAAGAGTGGAATCTTTATATAAAGTCTGATTTAACAGTAGTTTGTCTTATGGTTTGTGTTTTCTGTACTTGCTGAACATCCGGAATTTGTAACTTTTTGTCTTTTACGAATATGGAAAGCTGTTGGCTATAATTTCTTCAATTACTTATCTGCTCCATTTTTCTTTCCCTTTTGAGACTCGTATTGCCTGTAGTTTGCACTTCTGACATTGTACCACAGGTCCCTGAGGCCTGTTCAATTTTTTTTCAACCCTTTTCTCTTTAAATTAGATAATTTCTATTCATTTATGTTCACATTCACTGACTCTTTCCTCTCTCAATTCCAACATCTGGGACATCTTGGGGTTTGATTTTTTTTTTCCTTTGAGAGTGATTCACATTTTCCTGATTTTTGTTGTTGTTGTTGTTGTTGTGCACCAGGCGATTTTGAATTGTATCCTGGGCATTGTACATATTATGTTATGAAAAATTAGGATTCTGTTATATTCCTGAATGTTGAGGTTTTTGCTTGAACAGGCAACTTTATTAGACTCAAATGTTGCTAGCTCTGGGCAGTAGTTCAAATCTCAGTTCAATTCTTTAAGCTTATGCTGCCGTGTCTGTTCTGCTCATGCATATTTACAGGCGAGCCAAAGATTTGTGTGAAGTTCACATACAAATTAGGGGATTCCTCACTCTCCAGTGACTTGGACTTGAACAGATGGTGGACTTTTTGGTAAAAAATGGTTCCCATCCGCAATGTGCTGCTCTACAACTGTGGTCTGCCCTCAGGGCAGTGTGTGTATGGGGTAGAGAGGAGTTTTGAGTTCCCTGCTTTTGTTCACTCCCTGAACCACCAAGTAGAATTTTAAGTTTATAGGTATCTGCAGGAGCTAGTCTGGTCTGTGACGGGGCTTAGGCCACCAAACTCCAGGCGAAGCCAATTACTTTTACTGGTTGTTGAGTGTACACCAGTCTCAACTTTAAAAAAAGATTTCCCTTCGCTCATTTCGTGGCTTCCCATCTTGCTCTTCATTTGCTGAAACAAAGAAGTTCCCTAAAGGTCTATTTTAAAGTTCTGTCCTTAGGTCTCTTCTGGTACTGCTAAATTTTCTCAGAAATCCCATTCATTCACATAACCATTCCAGGCAGCACTTCCAAGATACATTTTTCACTGTCTTCTGAGTTTCATACTTGTATTTATACCGGCCGTCTGTTTTACATATTCCCATATAACCTTTAGCCTAGAATCAGTCCCTTCTCTGGACTCATCTGATTTGGTAACTGGTATAGTATTTGTTCTGTGAGTTGGCTTAGCAATACTAAGGCAAAAGCACTTCTCATATTACCCCCAATTTCTCCATGTGAGTGGAGAACCACTCACATATTAGTTATTTATTGACTCATTGGCAACATCTAAATTTGAGGATAATCCCAAAAGAACTACCGCAATTTAAGAATATGACCTCATCTCCTTCCTCCCTCCCCTGTACTGAGTTCATATTGATAATTAATATTGTTACATGAGCATATCTTTGCTGACTTTATTCCTCATTCACTGCCAAGTATCCATTGAGCAGCTACCCTGAGGCCCAGGCACAGCTGTGGGCATTGGGAAGAGAATAGGCGAGACAGGAAAGGGTCCTTGCTGCTCTGGAGCTTGCATTCTGCTGGGGGACACACACCGAGGGCAAGGAACAAGCAGATTTCTTCCTGACGAGCTGAGGGAAACCAACAAGGGCAGTGGAATAGTCAGCAAGGGCCCGGCATACAGATGAAGGCCTGAGGTGGGTGTGGGGCTGAGGGAGCAGGGCCTGGAAAGTCACAGGGAAGAGTCTGGACTTCCATGTATGCGAGGTGCAAAGCTACTTTAATTAAGGAAATTAGTTTTTAAAGACAAGCATCAGAATAATGAAGAATAATGAAAGGTATCTTGTAATTATTCATATTCAGTCAACTTTATTTACCTCAATAAAACCTTTTGCATGTGCAACTGAAACTGCTGAGGTTATCACACCAAGAAATCTTGGTGTCTATTACACAAAGCTTTTAATAGAACTTGCTCTGACAATTTATTCCTCAAGCATCTCCCCCACCCCAGCTTAATATAATATTGCTATTTAACTTCATGACTGCACAAAGCTGTTTTAGGCACTACTTGGGGAATACGTTATAAGAGTTCAAATAAATGCAAATGATGTCTTGCTACTTTTTCTCAAAAGATTTCACATTAGAAAACAGACTATAACATTAGACTGTATTATATAAATATAGTTTCTATAGCTATACATAACTTGGTATCTTTTGCAGGTATATAAGATAAATGGTATGTCTGCCTTGTAATTAGCAGGGACTAACAATCTGGTAATGCTGAAAAGCACAAGACATTATGAAATGTTCTGTCTGTTTGCTGGTTCCATAAAGTTTACTAGTCTCCAGACTCAGGAGAAACATGATTGAAGACTAGAGACAAACTTAGTTATTGGAAAAAGTGAATGCAATTAGATGATCATCTCTCTTTTTTTGCAAACTTGCTGAGTCTTGACAATCCAATTTTAGGTCACTTTAGATAACCTTTCCCTTTTGGCAGCCCCCTATTTTTCCAAATTAAAATGATTAATTGGAAGGGGGGAGCATTAATTAGGTGGCATTCTTTGCCTTGAGAGAATGTCACAGTCCCTCCTCCTGGGTTGGGAACTATAAACCAGAAGTGTAAGCGTCATCTGACAAACATTTACTGCCTTTACGATGTGGGCAGAGCTGTGTCCTGTGGCCCATTATAGTTCAATTCTGTTTTCCAATGTCCTCCAGTGAAAATTCTCCATCTGGAACAATTGCTCCTTGGACAGGCTTTGCCACCGTGGCCCTCATGCAGTTTCGAGAAGGGGCTCTGGGGCTCTGCAAACCCTGGGAAGAAGTCCCGGGTCCTCCAGCTAACGCTGGGTTCTTGTCCAGGAAAGACGGCCAAAGGTGCTGGATGTTGTAGCGTTGCCATGGGCTGAGCTGGTACAAACTCTCACTCATTAAAAACATTTCCCAGGAAAGAGGGGACAGTGTTAAGGAGCATGAGCTTAGCAGCCAACCGCTCGCATCCTGATCCTTCCCTCCCCACGGATAAGCTGTATGGCCTTGGCCAAGGGATACTGCCTTTCTGAACCAAAGCACTTAAAACAGCATTGAGCACAGAAGAAACATTCAAACACCATAGTTCTTAGGATCACTGAGTACTTTGTTTTTCACAGTATAAGGCGCCTGTTTAATATTCTAAGAAAAAGGAATCATAAATGAATGTGTTAGTACTTATCTATTATTAGAATGATACATGCTTATTCACAAAATCATTTCCTAACTTCTTTCTGAACCTCCCACCGCTGGGACTATTGCTGTTTGGTTACTTTAAAAATGGTGAGAATTTCATGATTCCTTATTCTTAGCAATATTCTTGCTGTGTTTTGAATCAGTTCTTTTACTTATTAGGTTTTTAGGAAGGAGGCTCAGTAAATTTAACTCCTATTGATTATCTCTGAATCCTCCCCCAAAACTCAAGTGCCACATAACACAACACAGATGGCTCCATCAGTCCACTGTGATTGAACTCTTCCCATTTCCCCCCAAGAGCCCTCATCTGCGCTTAGGATCCTGGTACACAATCGTGGCGGCTAATTCTCAGAGTGTTACGACAGCCCAGCCTCACACGTGTGGCTTATTAGTCATGCCACTTACTGAATTTCCTCTTCTTGAACTCTCATATCCACACCTGTTGTAAAGAAAAATGAATACAAAGCAAGAATGCAGCAAACCCCTAAAACAAGAGCTTTCTAATTTTGAAAATGTTTAATTTTCTTGGGCCTCATAACAATGAGCTATGTGATGTGTCACCAATCTCTAGTGTAATTAACTTCTTGTCTTTTGTTCCTCATGAATTTACATATCCAATTATCTTTCTATTTAATTTCTCATGGTTTTGCTACGTTGACTAAAACTTTTTACCAAGAAAGTCTTTTAATTTAATGTATTTTGTGGTTCATTTGTAAGCCGTCGGTTGTTAAAGGCATTTTAAGATAACTGAATGCTGCTGTGTAAGGCTGTGGGACGTTTCTGGCGGCACTGGGAGTACCTACGGCCCTTGTCCACCAGGCCAACTGCTGGAGCAGACTACGTGGGTGAAATGACACGGTGGTCAGAGCCGCGGAGGGTACGGCACAGCAGCTGCAGGAAAACAATGCTGATTTTAACCGTCCGTGCTCCACTGTACTGGCGCATTTACCCAAAGTCGGTGCCAATTCCAATAAAGCGGCTAAAAGTGGTTTTTGCCCCACTGAAATCTCTGCTTTGTTTCTTTTGAGAACTCCTGCATCAACTCCCACTTTTCTGTCAAAGTGACATAGTGAAGAGTCTTGTGAATGGAGGGTCATTCTGGTCACATGAGGACACCGACCTGCGGAGCCCCTGCGGCACCCAAGGTGAACGGAGTAAAACCAGAACACGCTGCTCAGCGGCTGCAGAGGGGGCGCATCAGGGCTCTGGTTCTCGTCTGTCGGATGAGATTTTTATAAAAGGCTAATTTATGTGCAAAAGTGACTTTTCTAGTCACCAAGAGGGCCAGATGAAGCTTTGGCTTCTATCAGCTGCATCACCAGTAATCAGAGAACTCTGAGGATGTAACAGCACATGTTGGTCACCCAACTCCTTGTTAAAATGAGTCTCCACGGCTCTGGTTCTAGGAGACAGTTGTTTTGTTAGGAGGAATGGAGGTGACCTTTGATTTCCCAAGCATGGGAGTCACAACTCTGATTTACCATGATCAGATGCAGTTTGTTCAAGGAATTATCAAAGATCGCACTTGGCTGTCAGGTTGGGATTGAGGCCCATAGGTAGACATTCACAATATGCTATGAGAAAACAATTCGATTCAAAGGCAGAGAACTTGAGAAAGTTGAGAAACGCATCATTAGGAGAGTTTATTCAAACACTCATGCAGTGATATTCCAGTATCATTTATTCTTCCATCCCAAAGCTCCAACCCCCATCTCCTTCTCTTTTTTTAAAGGGAGAGCATTTCTATTGCAAATAGAATTTAGGATAGGACCCAGCTCTCAGATTTATGCAAAAGGACATAAATTCGCAAATCTGCTTGATATACTTCATATTCAATAAGTGGTGATGTGCAGCTGCTCCTTCTGGCAAAATTAAAAAATAGTGGAAGTGAAAAGTGAATGGATCATAAATGGCAATCATTTTTTCTTCATTAAATCCATAAGGTCGTCTTCTATTCCTTTCTCACTCAGCTCATCTAAGCTGTAGTACCGATGAATGATTTTCTCAGCAGTGACCACCACGACTCGGAGCCCATGGGTATCTTTGCCTAACTGGCACCCAATGGCAGATGACACCACCATATCAAGGTTCTGGTACGTGCCCCCAGCGTTCCTGTGGTAGTGGCCTGAGAACACAGCTTTGACACCTGCAGGGAAGGAAAAAAACATTAGGGGGGCAAGGATTTCCATTTAGGTAAATGGGGGGCTCCAATGTTTTCTTGTTTGAACAATAATGTATCACTATATTACACGCATACTATTTAGTGTATAATAAATAAGAAGGCAGTATATGTGACATCCAGAATCTTTTCAAGGATAACTCATATGTACAATACATTATTACATTTGACATAACTAGTACGGGAACATATTAGGGAAGAAGGACAGAAAAGGAAGAGAAGGTGAATGACTTTGGGAGACGTGAATATGGCTGAAGGAAATATTTTGAGGACAATATGCGTAGCCATATAATCGAAGTTATATGTCCACAAAAAGTAAACTTTATGGCGTTCTAGTCAAGAGAGCACAGCATGTTCAATATTTAATGTATATCCTCCATTCCAAACTTAAAGCAATGATGGATAAAACATAAAAAAGAAAACCAAAGACAGAGGCAGTCTCAACATCAAAATAAATAGTGCTACGGACTGGAAACAAAGCAGGAAGGCAGAGTAATGAGTGGGGTTATAATGTTTCTGGGAATTAAGCTCTTACTAGAAGATAATCAAGACTGAAGCATTTTCTGTGGGACAAGCAATCCAGCCTGGCCCCATTTGAAATGGACGTGGTGGGAGAGCCTCTGTTTATGGAAGGAGATGGAAGAAAAATGCTGTTGCCTGATGCCTGGGGCTAGGCAGTGTTGTGCTGATATGTTAAACAAGTACTCATGTGGTACTGGTGAATTAAAAGGTAGGATTGAGGAAATGAACCAGAAGACAACACAGAGATCCAGACACAAGTGATATAACAATCAGTTCAAAGAACTCACAGGATAGATTAAGAGGTATCAATGGATGCTTTAGAAAAACTGGAAGAGGAGAAAGGAGGAAATAGTAGTAAGACTACTGAAGAAATAATAGATGAGAATTTTCCATATCATAGTAAAATTGTGGAGCGTCAAAGAGAAAAACTTAAGATAACATGGGAAAATATTACAAAGGAATGATAATTAGATAGAGGCATCTTAGCAATAACAGAAACAAGGAGTTATACCTTCAAAATGCTGATTTTCAGTTATTCAAATTTTATATGTAGCTAAACCATGATTCAAGTTTAAGGCAAAATAAATACATGTTTGGACATATAAAGACTAAAAGTTGACCACTTCCAAACCTTCACTAAAGACACAAATAAATGGAAGGATATACCTTGCTCATAGACTGAAAGGACTAATATTGTTAAAATGTCCTTACTACCTAAAGCAATACATAGATTCAATGCAATCCCTATTAAAATACCAATGATACTCTTCTCACAATTAGAGAAACTAATCCTAAAATATTTATGGAACCACAGAAGATCCCAATGGCCAAAGAAATTCTGAGAAAATACCAAGTGGGAAATATAACACTCCATTGCATGAAAATATACTATAAAACTACAATAATCGAAGCAGCATGGTATTGGCATAAAAACAGATATATAGATCAATGGCATTAAATAGAGCCCAGAAATAAGTCCTTGCTTACATGGACAATTAATGTATAACAAAGGAGGGAAGGATATTCAATGAGGTAAAAACATCCTATTCAACAAGCAACTTTGGGAAAACTGGACATATACATGCAAAACTATGAAACTAGATCACCTTCTTACACTATATAAAAAATAAACACAAAATGAAATAAGGACTGAAATGTAAGACCTGAAACCTAAAACTCCTAGAAGAAAACATAGGCAGTAAACTTTTAGCAATATTTTTTTGGATTATGTCTCATCAAGCAAGGGAAACAAAGAAAAAATAAACAAATGGGACTTCATCAAACTAAAAAGTTTTGCACAGTGAAGGAAACTAGCAACAAAACAGAGACAATCTACTGAATGGAAGGAGATATTTGCTAATGATACATCAGACAAGGGGTTAATATCTAAAATATATAAGGAACTCATACAACTTAACACCGAAAAAAACAAAAAAAAAAAACTAATCCAATTCAAAAATGGAAAGTGTACCTGAGTAGACATTTCTCCCAAAAGGACATAGAGGTGGCCAACAAATAAACAAAAGATGTTCAACATTATTAATCATGATGGAAATGCAAGTTAAAACCACAAGGTATTACCTCACACTGGTCAGAATGGCTACCATCAAAAAATCAACGAATAAGCATCGGTGAGGATATGGAGAGGGACCCTTGTGCACGTTGGTGGGACTGTAAATTGGTGCGGCCACTGTGGAAAACAGTATGGAGGTTCCTCAAAAAATTAAAAATAGAGCTGCTGTATGATCCAGCAATTCCACTTCTGGGTTTTTATCCAAAGAAACAAAAACACCTATTCAAAAAGATATGTGCATCCCTATGTTCATTGCAGTAGTACTAGTAATAGTCAAGATATGAAAACAATCATAGATGTCCATCAATGGGTGAATGGATAAAGAAGATGTGGATATATGTATACACACACACACACACAATGGAATATTATTCAGATGTATAAGTGAAATAGTCAAGCAGAGAAAGACAAATACCACATGACTTCACCTATATGTGGAATCTAAAATTATAAAAATAAATGGACAAACAAAACAGAAACAGACCCATAGATATAGGGAACAAACTGATGGTTGCCAAAGAGGAAGGGGAATGGAGGGATGGGAATAAAAAAAGTTGACTTTCACTGTGAATATAATAAACTTGCTTTCATAAAATATTTTAAAAATTGAAAAAGAACATCAAGAAAATGAGACAATAACCCATGGAATGGGAGAAAGTACTTGCAAATCCTATATCTGAGAAGGGTCTAATATATTCAGAAAATAAAAGAACTCTGACAATTGAACAATAAAAAGGAATAACCAGAAAGACTTGTGGCCACCATTTAGAGGACAGAAAAAGCACAGGCTTCCAGAGTGCGATTAAATCTGCCATAAGGCGTGCAGAAACCAGTTAAGGCAGATCTTAAAATGGTCTATTCCCTGTCCCCCTTTTACTATGTTTTATATTAAGTACAGGCTTTAATAATTTCCTCAAATATTTTTGTATTTACAGGAAAATTTATATATTATTTATAAAAGATTACAACTCTTTTAGGAATTATTTCGTTTTGTACATTAAGAGGTCTACACATTTATCAGCTCTTCACAACCTTTATTTCATCACAGTTTATAACAGTGCATAACAGAATATGCAACTGCTTTAAAAATAAAACAAGTTTTGAACCTAGCAGGGAAGTAAATGGGATTTCTTACTCTGGTTTATCTTGAGGTAGTTTAACTGTGATGTCAGAAGCTTTCATTAGATTAACTAAAATGGAGAGCAAAAGACAGAATAGAAAGAATTGACTTTGGAGCTTGGAATCTGCCATAGTTAAATATTTAATTACCCTCTGATGGCTGGCAGGATAATGTTGGAAAGAAAGGCTCTGAAACCTTTGGCCATATTTGCTCTGCTTTTCCCAGGAGTAAGGATTCTGGGAGAATATTAAGAATGAGACTGCAATTGAAAACAGTCATTTCGAATCCTAGTGATTATTCATAAATTCAAGCTGATTTGTGTTTTATCAGAAGTAGGATTCTACTTCATTCTTTTAATAGTTTCTTTAGGCCTGTGCAATATCTTCACTATGTTTAATAGCTGTTCTTGCGCCTCACCCCCACTGAAATCATACTTCTTTTGTCACTGGGGCTGAGGAAATAAACACTTTCTGTCTCAGACACACACACACACACACACACACACACACACACACACACACACACACCCCCATCCCCCCACCCAAATCAACAAATGGGCAAAGAATTTGAACACTTTTCCAAAGAAGATATACAAATAACCAATAAGCACATAAAAAGATGTTCAACATCAACAACCATTAGGGAAATGCAAATCAAAACCAATATGAGATACCAAAATGAGATTCACACATACAAAAATGGCTATAATAAAAAAGATAGAAAATAACTAGTGTTCACAGAGATTTGGAGAAATTGGAACTTTCATACAGTGCTGGTAGGAATATAAAATGGTGCAGCAGCCGTGGAAAAACACTTTGACAGTCCTTCAAAATGTTAAACATATAGTTACTGCATGACCCAGCAATTTCACTCCTAGTTCTACAGTTAAGAGAAATGAAAACATACATTAATGCAAAAATTGTGCATGGGTGTTCATAACAGCATTATTCACAACAGCCTCAAAGTGTAAACAACCTAAATGTCCACTAATTGATGAACAGATAAACAAAATGTGGTACATACACTTAATGGAATATTATTCAACCATTAAAAGAAAACAAGTACTAATACATGTTACAATATGGAATGACCCCAAACCATTATGCTAAGGGAAAGACGTCTGATGTAAAATGCTCTATACTGTGTGATTCATTAATATAAAATGCCCAGAACAGGCAAATCCATAGAGAAAGAGAGGAGATTATTGTCAAGGGCTGGGGGAAGAAAGGAAAAGAGAGCGGCCACTAACGGGGACGGCGTTTCCTCACGGAGCGGTAAAATGGCGTGGGGTTAGACAGCGGTGCTGGCTGCGCAATCTTGTGAATGTAGTAAAACCACTGAATTTTATATTTTAAAAGGGTGAATTTTATGGTGTGTGAATTATGTAGCTCAATAAAAAATACAAAAAGAAAAGGTAGGGGAAAGGGAGAGAGCTGGGATGATCCATGTGGTAGTAGATTAGAGTTGAACACAGTATGAACTCATATTTAGCTTAATATTGAAGCAAATGATTATATACAGAAACATTCATTGATGTGTAAAACACAGGCTGGTATTCAGACACACTTTTCCTCGTTGTCAGCTGAGAGTGTCTGAAAAGCAAGGACACATATTAGCAATGAGCACGGCCTAGTATCCAGACACTGGTTTCTCACACCATTCTGCAACAAGACAAATTATGGATCCGTGGAGAAACGGATGACTGCAGGGCTGGGGCAGGAAGCATCCTCGTAGAGTCAGAAAGCAAGCAAG